GCATTCTATTTGCGTGACACTTGTTAACATGTTTGAGGTTAAAAGATGATTAGTCACCTCTTGATTCCTCTCATGCTGCCACGTGTGGATACTTAAAAGAGAGGACACAAATTATTTCCTATGTACTAAGAAAGCTACGGCTTTGCAAAATAAAAGAAGGAAAAAAAATGATCCTTAACCAATTGCTCACGGTTATCATCCTTAAGTGTGATTAATTAGTAATTAATCACTAGCTTATGCTTAATTAATTATTAAGAATATTACTTAATTACCAAAATTATTCCGAACGTAAACGGAACGTCGAAAATAATTTCGGTTAACCTCGACTGTAATTAATTATTTCCGAAAATAATACCCGCAAATATTATTATTTCGGAACTAAAAACATGATTTACATTAATAAACTGACGGGATATTACATGCATCATTGAAAATTCTAAGATACATACTATAGCTCTATTTATACATCATTAAGATCATGGAATATAAAAGAGAAGAGATCATATTTCTCGTAACGTGTAATATACACGCCTCTCTCTATGCTCTTTCTTGAATTCCAGTTGAGTTTTATCTTCTTCCATTGCTCCATCGGTACAGGTCGATGAGGTGTTAAAGTAATACATTAGAAGATCGGGGTAACCGAGACATTGTGATCATCAGCCGGAGCCACGACCAGCCGACTCCTGACGACTGACGACTGCCGCAGCGAATCGCTACCCGCAACGGACTGTCGGCTACCACCGCAGCACTGCGACGCCGTGATCCTCGCCACCTGCGCGATTCAGGCTTGCTGCTCCTGGTCATCCCATCTGATCCATCCAGTCAGATTCAGAAAATTTTAAGCCGCAAGTTTTCTACATCAAACCGTTAGATTCACTATGCATAGGTTTACGATTGATATTGAATTCGTGACTTGTACATAACGTGATCCTCATAGATGCCAACAAGTGGTATCAGAGCACTAGATTATGATTTTTTGTACAAAGTTTAAATTTAATGCTTTATTTGACAAGATGTGTTCAAACACAACCATATATGTTGAATTATATTCGCATAACTTGGTTTTGCAGGAATTAGTTTAATTCACTATTATTGTAGTATATGTGATGGGTCTCCTCTCAGATCTGGAGTGAACCGATGGAAAACCGCCCAGATCTGGAATGAACCGATGGGAATGAGCTCCGATCTAACTCGATAGCCTCCAAACCGTTGTTGAACCTCAAGAAAACCTGCAAGAACTTAACGCCGGAGGGGTTTCCGGCGTAGAGCCTCCGACGCTCAAGTCAATATGTGAAAGAGATGAGATGGAGGAAGCTGCCCTGAGAGCAGCAGCAGTAATGGAGGAAATTATAGAATGAATGGGAGTTAGGGTATTGGAGTTACCTCAGCTCCTTTATATAGAAGTAAAACATTTACCTGAAGTCCCCAAAATGCCCTGGCCGACTTACTAGAAATGTCCAAAATACCCTAGTCGGTTCCCATTCCGTCCACCTCCTAGTCAGCATCTAGATTCTTCCTTATCTTTGACAGTTTCCTCCTTATCCTTAACAGCTTTCCTTCGATATGTTGAACTGTACTGGAGTCGTCGAGATCTATGAGCTTCAAGACTTCCTCAGTCGACTGGGATATCAACTCGAGTCGACTGGGTCATATTCAATCGTTAGTAGGTCCTGACACGTTTGACCGTCATCCCGGAGGAAAACGACTTATGCTAGTCGACATGTGGAGGTCGACTTAGATGAGTGCTGGGACCCTTGACCGGAGATATCATAAAGAATCTGCGGACAGAGTCGACTTTGCATAAGTCGACTAGGTAATCTCTGAACCGTGATGATATGAACCGTTATACGATAGTGTGGCTATATCATCTAGTCCCCCCCAAAAATTACTCGAAGTGATTCTGAGCTTAAGAGTAAGTTTTGACGACTGAATGTCTCACTCGAATCTTTTCACATATTCTGTCGCCTGTCGTTGCTCTAAGTCGCACCCGCTTGCTATTTCGACTCGTAAAGCGACTTGTCTATTCAACAAATTTTGAATTGATTGGATAAGTCTAAATCTTTTCAAATTTCAAAATTCAAAAAATAAGGTCTTGAACATTAATAAGATATTTTCTCTCTCCACCCCTTCGTATTCCGTGCACCATCTCAACCGTTGAATATGACTTTAATCTGAGGGTTAGGGTTTCTCTGCTCTCCCTATATGTACTCCTCCCCTTTTCTCGTTTTCACTTTTCGCACTCAGACTCTCTGACATCTCTGTTTCTTCAACAAATACAACATCTCAAGCTTTTTGGTGCTCCTTTCATTTTTCGACGTTCTTCTCGGATCTTTCAGGACTTCTCCGTCAATCATCATGAGTATGAGTAAGTTTTCTTTGCTTTTCGATTTATTGCTGTGTTCAAAATAAGAATTTTTTGTTTTTCTGGGTAATATGCTTGGGGCTCGTATGTTCATCGGTTTTCTTGGGAATTTTTGGATGAGTTTCTAGCAGTTTTCCCTTGTTAGATCTTTAGTTGCAGATATCTCATTCCTCTTAAGTGTTTTCGTTCAGTAGCTGATTTGATATGAAAAACTAATTATGCCTCTCTTTTGTTACCCTTGATCTGTCGTCCTTGTGCCGAGTCGAGTGAAGCAGAAATGCCCTACGAATTCTTCTCGATCTTTTCTTTTTTTTATTCTTATTTCGAGTCGATTTACACGTTTTTCTCAATCTTTCGACGACTTATTCTTGGAGTTGAACCGCAGTTATGATTATCTTCGTCTTTTGATCGTCATTTTCTCTGTTTTCTTCTCTTTTTCCTTATTAGATCCCGACTCTCCCTCTGTTCTGATCCTGTTTCTGGCTCCCTCGCCCTTGAAATCGACGGATATTCAGGCTCTGCCTCCGTTGAGATGCTTGATGTCAAAACTAGTGCTAATCAAAATGTCGAAACCGAAGGCTCCGTTACTTCTAATGCCTCGCCCTTTGGCATCGGTTGGGACGTGTATAACCTGCATTATTGTCGATCACTCTTTGTGCGGACCCCGAGGCCCTTCGGCTTAACTCAGCCCCTCTAGGTATCCTTAGGCTTTGAGACATCTCGTACGTATGTCCTTTTTCATTCATCAGTGGCTTTCTCCGTCGAGCCCTTAACTGTAACACGTCCCCTTGGTAGCTAGCCGTTCCTAACTCATTTTTTTATGCTCCTGCAGCCAAAATCGATGGCTTTAGGGAGTTCAGCGGGCTTCCCTCCGACTGGGATGTGGTCGCTCCTATGTTCGAAGATGACTTCCGGCGTCCCCCCCGCGGTTGTTTTACCTTTTTCCTCGATCAAATAATGTCGGGGTTGCGTTTCCCCATCCAACCTGAGCTGCTGTCTCTGAGCAATCTGTATGGCATCCCCATAAATTAGTTCACTCCCAACTCGATTCGAATAATGGCGGCCTTCATAGTCGCCACCCGTATAGTTTTAGGTAGTTTTATACCCAATTTTTTCCTTTATTGCTTCGGCTATAGGTTTAGTAAAGATGCCCATTGTTTGGGTCGTCGAGTAGGCGTGTCTTTTCTTGATGACCTTTCTTCCAATATCACCGAATGGAAGAAGAAATACTTCTTCATTCGACCTACTCCTGGTCAATATCCTTTCTCAAATGAGTGGATTACCAGAAAAACCAAACAACGCAAGCGCCCCGACGCTCCGCAGTTTGCGGCTATGTTGGAAGAATTGAATAAACATGTGTGGAGCGCTCGTCAGCTGACTAAAGATAGTTCTTTGCTTAGCCATGTCGGTATCTGTGTCGACAAGAGTGTTCCTCGGCTTAATGACCCTTGTAAGTCTCTCAGTTTGTCGGTTTTCGCCACGATTTATTATCGATCATTTGGCTTCGTGTGTTTATGTCTGTTTGCTTGTATGTATGTATGGCTCGTGTGTCTGTTTGTATTAAAAATTTTTTTGTGTCGTCAGTAAAAGCTTTGGCCCGTTTTGAGAAGAAGAAGGCCGAGGCGGCCAACAAGTCAGTTGCTCAGGGGTCAGAGGGAGGCTCGGGCTCTGTTTCTCCCCTCGCGGTGGTCGAGACGACTGCCTCTAAGAGGTCTAAGGTCGTGCTCCCCTCAGCTTCTAAACCGACTCAACAGTCGGGTTCCCACTCTCGTAAGAGGCCCCATGACCAAAGGGGCGCAACTATGGCGCCTGACTCCTCGAAGCGCCCAAAGGAGAAAGGGCCGGTAGTTGAGAAAAGCGCGGGAGAGCCCCTGGTCGGGGAAGATGCGGGGCAGTCGTCGCCCGTGAGGATGCAGTCTGTAACCATTCAACAACTTTCTCGGCTTTATGATAACCCTGACCCCCTCCAAGTTCTCAACTACCTCCAGTCGGTTCTTCCTGAGGACGACCGAGTCTGCTCCGACAGTAACCCCTACAATCGGGCTCGCTATGCTGCTCGGCTCATCCCTCGGGCATGCCTAATCCTGTGCTTGCCTCCTCTTTTTTCTATTATTATGTCGACTTCTTATTATCTCGTTTGTTCTTCTTTTTTTTAGCTTCTCGCCTGTATTTCCCGACTATGATCGAGGAGGCGACCTCCCCCGAAACCAATGTCAAGGTTTTGGGGGAAAAGTACGCGACCAAGTGCGATGAGCTCGCGGCCAAAGAAGAGGAGCTCGAGGCTGCCAATGCTGTCATCGCCAAGCTCCGCTTTTATAAGGAGGCAGCCGTCCGAAAGGCTGAGCGGTTGAGAGTCGACCTGATCAAGGCCAATGAAGAGGTCTTGGTTGAGAGGGAGAATGGAGATCAAGAAGGTCGACGGACCTTCTTGAAGTCTACAGCAGGGGCAGTCTTTCTCGACCATTACCGCAAGGCTGTGGTCGAGGCGTTATGTGCTTCGCCCGAGTTCCTCGACAAGCTTGTTCCCGCGGCGGTCCAATATTTTGATTATGCTTGCGATACGTGGGATCAAGCCGTGACTAAGCCCGACTTCTCGGGGAAGATCGATCGGAAGGTCGTAAAGCTAACTCTCCCCGACCCTGTCGGCTACAAGGAGGCAGTTCTCCCTCCTGGCCATACGTGGTGGAGTGGTCTTGTGGCCAAGGATATTCATTCGGCTGAGCTATCTTCTCAGCTTGAGGTCCCTCCACTTCCCTTGGTCGGCCCGGTCGACTTGGTCGAGCCGAGTGGTGCAGACTACAAAGGAGAGCCGGTCGACAAGGAGATTGAAGTCGAGCGGCCTGATACGGAGCCGATTGTGGAGGGGGACGGCGCTCAGACCGAGCCAATTGGCGATGAAGGCGGGGATGCCGCTGAGAAGTCGACAGCCGACTCCCAAAAGGCATTGCTTTTTTTTTCTGTTTTAGTTTTAATATTTATGTTTCTGTTTGTACTTTTTTTTCTTACTTT